TCACTTAGAATTTTCCCTATGAAATAAAGATCTACAATGGCAATTCTTGTGCATTCAAGTAATCTCTGCATTTAGCATGATAAATATAAGCCAATATTTCATTTTAACACCAAATCTAGGCATTTCTAGAGGCACTTCTGCTTGCAACTTGACTGCAGAAAGGACTCAAAGGACACATGCTCAACCATTTGTGGTCATTGAGGCCACTGACTCCAAGCTCAAGGCCAATTCATCCTAATTTTGCTTTGGAGCAGAAATACAAAACTTCAAAAACTAGGAGAATATATGGCCCCTAGAAGCTTGCAGTTTGGCCCATAAATACTTCTAAAATGGTTATGAAATTGTAGTGATTAACGTGGTAAATTGTTAAACTGGAAAAATTCATATTCATTGCGTTTCATTATGATAATCTGAATTAAGTAAAATTTAGCTCTCTTGTCTCTTCCCTTCTACTATTGAAATATGACCTTCAGTGCACCATTTAAAGGACAATTAACATCCAGTTGTTAATAATTTAAACAAACCTGAGTTAGGAGATGATCCAAAACAAAACAGTTGTCTGAATTGGAACTTGGCAGCCCACAGACTCCCAGAAGCCTCTTTTACTACAATTATTGCAACTTGGCAGAGGCGTAGCGTGGGGGGTGCAGGGGGGGTGGCCGCACCGGGCGCAACATCTGGGGGGGCGCGCTCGCACTCGCAGCTCTCTGCCCCTGCCTGTGCGAATCCGATCCGAGCCGTCGAGTCGCCGCCCACTGTGGAGGGGGGGGCGCAAATTACTTGCCTTGCCCCGGGTGCTGAGAACCCACGCTACGCCACTGCAACTTGGTGATATAATTTCCCATCATTTTAAGGAAGGAAACATATGGAAGCTATACTATAAGCCTTGAATTAGAGTTAACATCATTTACTAAATGAATACACCTGTCCCTCCAAAACGTCTACTCTAACGCTTAGGGAATGTTATCTAGGCCTATATGCGTGACAAAGCCTCTCCTACTTTGCATCATGACCCTGACTATTGCAGTCTTCACTTCTCAAAAGGACTTTCCAAATGTTGTCGAAATATAGTCTTTCTCAGCCCTATCTCAGCTATTGAACTTTGGTCAAGAGTCTGTCAAATTCAGAGTTCACAGAGAACTCTGGATGGTTTAAGAGCAGATGCTTCTACACTGTTCTTCTTAACTGCACCAAAGAGAAGCAATGTCTGAACCTTGGGCATACTCATGCGTGTTGCACTAAACCATGGTTTAGTATGACATCCCCAAAGCCTTATTTTCTCTCTGCTAATACGTATACAAAATGACCTTCATATATCTCTCTCCAGTCATAGGTCTAACCATCTCTTTTATGATGAGGGCAACATAGCCACATCATAAGTCTCGAGTGTCTTAAAGAGTCAAAGCAAATATCAGAGGCCATACTCATACTGAATTATATTTTTACCTGAATGGGAAACTTGACCAGGCATCCTCATAACAGAAATAAGAACTTAAAGGCTGATTCCACCATACAATAATTGCAGTCTCCCCAAATGGCTCCCAAGCAGTCATACACACACATCCAATTTGTAAAGGGGTGGTAAAATGTGGGAACATATTTTAGTAGAACATTAAAAGTGGGACCAAAGTAAGTTTAGTGACTGAGCATCTGCTTTTTTAAGTAGAATGTCCCAGCTTCATGTCTGCTCTGCTTAATAGGATTCTATCTAGCTCACGACAGGAAAGATCTCAGTTCCAGGAGATCCACTGCTAGCCAAGGTAGCCAATAGACTGGATAGAACAAGAGTTGATCTTGATATAAGTCAGCTTCCTATTCTTCTGTTGTGCCAAAGAACAAGACACACTGTAATCAGGTGCCTGATCTGGGAGTGCTCTAAATAATCTTGGTAGGTGAGGTGGGGGAAAAAGATGTACTGAAAGAAATCCCATTGAAATAAATAGAAATAAGTGAAGGATTGTTGTCTAAAGTAGCCCTTCCCAGGTAAAATCATTGAGTTCATTTCTAAATTTTCATGGCAGGTACTCTACCTGCATAGCAGCAAAATATTGTTTTGGTGGCTCTAAATTCCAGATAGCTGAGTACTTATCCTAATAATTCCAGTGCCTCATTTCGTGGTAAGCCCTTACCAGTATCTGCCTTCAGCTCCCATTATGATTTTGAGACCTGTCTTCTACAACGTGACAAAGCTCCCTAGGCAATGTTTCCAAGATATCTGTTAGATGAAGCCTATGATTAGCTTCCAAAGCCCTACTTCCATTAAAAGAAACCATTAAACATTGCCTAAGAGTTACCCTCCTTTTTTGCTCATCCTTTCCATCCCCCCATCATCCTTCTTAAACCTGCTGGTTCATTCTTTGCTTTAAAGACATGGTTTACATTCACAAAATATATAAAGAAAAATATAAGGTTACTGGATGAGCATATAGTGCTGCAGCCTGACAGCTGTCTGCAAATATTTTCACCATGATTATCCTTACTAAAAGTAAATCACTGGGTAAAGATAGCACAAACGTGACAAGGCTCAAATTGGATGTAACCAACACTATCTGGAATTCTTTTGACTACATATGGAAAAAAGGGGGGATTGGGATGCCCCCCCTCCACACTGGAATTATAAGCAGGGTAAGGAGAAAAAATGAACGCCCCTTCCCTGCTTGTCTTGTAAAAAAAAAAAACTGGCTTCCAGAATAATTGAGTGAGGTAGATATTAAAGCATCATTATTTCAGGGAATGAAATGAGAAAACTACAACCTATAAACCATTTACAGTACAAATGTTTAATTAAAGTCATTATTATTACTTTGGAGTGAACTGCTATTGGGACATGCTATAAAAATCATGTCCCAGCAAGAACCCTTATGGAAGAGGCATTGAGTGGGACAGGACTTCTAACATAGAAAAGCACCTATTTTGCAGCCCAAGACTGCATGGTTGAAACCACTGAATTACGATGATCGGATTGCCCACTTTTTTAAAAAAGCAAAACAAAAATAAACCAGATCTATTAAACCCCTAATAGGTTTAACATACTTTTTCATATTTAAAAAGCAACCTCCCTTTTTAAAAGGCTAAATAGTTTATTCCCCTGCAATCCTCAGTAGCCTTACCTATGTTTACCTGCCTCCAACCCCAGCCGGAAAAAGATTGACTTCAACTAGCCATCGGATTCTGTACTGGAGAATTGCATCATCAGCTGGTTTTTGATATAGTGTAACATTTATGGAAACAATTGTTAAAGGACTGGTTAACCAATTTTAAAGGAAGGTGAACAAAATTAAAATAGGTCGTCCACGTTTGATCATGGCGATGTGTGAAGCAGAAACTTTGGCTTGTTCCTATCTGAGAAGAACTCAGAGAAGGTGAGATTTCCTGATTCAACATGGATAGTAAAAAGAAAAAGAAAAAAACATAGATGAAACCATCTAGTTCGTTAGCCAACTCATTGAAAGGAACAGTCAAATATGCTCATTTGAGTAGCACTTCTGAAAAACAGTGGCTTACAACTATGTGGAAATCTGGCCCGAAAGGGAGAGATTTTTCAAATACGGTATTACTAAAATCGTGCATTTGGTAGTTCTTGACTTGGGACCATTTGTTTGGCAACCTTTCCAAGTTCTAACGGCAACTGTGACTTACAACTGGGTTCCTGCCTTTATGAATATTGCAGCATCCCAACAGTTCACACGATCGTAATTCAGGTTCTTGACCACCAGCATGTAGTTACAGCAGATGCAGGATCCTGGGGTCATGTGATTGCCATATGTGACCTTCCCAGCTGCCTTCCATCAAGCAAAGTCAAACTGGATTTTCTTAATGTGTGATTTACTTAATGACTCTGGCAAAAAAAAGGTTGTCAGATCGGATGCAGTCGTACGATAGCTCACTTAATGGTCGCATTGCTTAGCAACAGAAGTTCCAGTGCCAACTGTGGTTGTCAGTCAAGAACTACCTGTAATATCATTCCATTTTAAAATATGGTTTTGTGGTCTTTAACGCAAAGGTTATTCACTGTAACTTATTGCCAAGTGTGACTGGCTGAAAGGAGAAAATGACGATGCTCTACCTAAGCTAAACAATGAGTAAAAATGTCCAAATGTTGCCTTGTACTAACATGGTAATCCTCAGTCTCACAATGCTGAAAATTTAAGTCTAGAAGTTTAAAAGGATCTATCTAAGCACAATTCACTATGAACTCCTGCCATGCAAGCTCCAGAAATTTTCAGTGGGCTTATTCCTACTTTGCCAGGTGGATTCTGCTCTACAGGCCCCAGAGGGATTGACTGCAGGGAAGTTCAGAGTTCAACTGTAGCAGAGCTAAAAAGAGCATTGCAGGGTGTACATCAATGCTGCAGTTTCTGTAGCAGAAGTAAATTGACACCATTTCTATGGACTAAGGACGCTACACAAAAAGGAGATCAGAGATGCTGTACGTTCCTATAAGCTGGCATCACAACCGAGGAAGATTTGTCTAGCCTCTTTTGTATGGACTAAAACTTTTGCTGGCAGTCATAACTGGTTAAAAACAATGTGTTTCTTTAAAAAAAAAAATCCAAAAACAATTTAATGTCCACTAACAAACATTGTACAATGCACAGAACAGTGCAAAACATATAGGAATCAGATTTCACATTTAAAAAGTCATAATAGCAGCACACCTGTGATAACTTACCCCAAAACAAAGATAAGATTAAATAAACCACAATGCAAGAGTCTTCTGCTGTTACACTGTGTAATGAATAGCTTAGGTTGGAGGTTTGGTTTTGTAGAAGGTTGTTCTTTCTTTCATTTATTTTAGGAATTTTTTAAAAAATCATCAGAACTATAAATAACTTTCCAGCAATATATACAGACATCAATAATTTAAATATGTTACATCTACTCTTGCATAAAACTCTCAAAGAAAAGTGCACCATAGATTTCACTCCCTCCCTCTTCCATTCTCCCAGTTGGGCCTTGCCTTTTCCATCTGCCCTGAGGTAGCTCTGAAGGGATAATTCTCAAATCCTGGGAAGAAAATGTGTCACTGTCATGGTGGGAGACACTTTGTTGCCTTTCTTGGTTCTTCCATTTTTGCTCAGGGCCATATACATCCCTGGATAGGTCTGGGATTCATAGGCGTTGTAGTTGTTTGGCAGCAGAATCTCTTTGAATTTACACTCATCACCAAAATGGCTCTGAAATGAGAGTGGAGGAGGAAGGGAAGAGGAAAGTGAGAGTAAGGGAGAAGTTAGATATAGAAAATGTCTTTGTATACATGTACACAAAAAAATACACCTGAGCACTTGCCTTCTTTTTTGTTCTCTTTTCAACTTTATCATACAACCCTACCTTCATAAAGTCTTTCAGATGGTTTTTATTCCATCCTAGTTCCTTTCAGTTTACAGTCTATAGCAGGGGTATCAAACTGCCAGCCTGAGGGCCGGATGCGTCATGGCGAAACCGCGCCCACCCCATTGCCGGCAATGGGAAAAAAATTGTGAAATGTCGCAACACGTCACATGGTGAGTTTGACACCCCTAGTCCATAGCAATAGCACTTAGACTTATGTACTGCTTCACAGTGCTTTACAGCCCTCTCTCTAAGCGGTTTACAGAGTCAGCGTATTGCCCCCAACAATCTGGGTTCTCATTTTACTGACCTCAAAAGGATGGAAGTCTGAGTCAACCTTGAGCCGGTGAGACTCGAACTGCCAAACTGCTGGCAGCCGGGAGTCAGCAGAAGTAGCCTGCAGTGCTGCATTCTAACTACTGCACCACCTCGGCTCATAACTTTCATCTTTCCAGAAAATGTAATCCAACATTTTTTTTTGATGATGGAATATTTGATGGAATATTTGCTAAAGAGACCATAGTGAAATTTTGGTATCATCAATAGGTTAAGGATGGATCTTGTCTAATCAGGAAAAGCAATACTGGCCTAGATTGGTCAATCATCAGGTTTGGTAATTTGATGTAGGGAAGCTTCTTACATAAATGATGAAAGAGTTAAAATCAGACAATATATATATCATTTCTCTCTCTCTCTCTCTCTCTCTCTCTCTCTCTCTCTCTCTCTCTCTCTCACACACACACACACACACACACACACACACACACACAACCCACACCTTGGTTCCATTCCTTTATTTCTCTAAAATCCTCACTTTTCATAAGTTTCACAAGTATCTCATCTTCCTAGATACACCCCAGTATTTATCATGCAAGATTTTATCTTTTTCCCAGAAATATACTTTTCTAGTTATACAGATCACTCTCCAACAGAAATAAATGTCTGTTTTACTCAAATTATAATTAGCTGAATGTTAGTTTTGTCTTTGTTCATTTCCATATAGATTTCATTTTTTAAAAAATGTATGCACTGCCCAAACATGTATACAAAAATTCACATTGAAGTTGGTATAAATGTAAACTTTCCTTTTTAAATGCATCCTTCTTACATTTCTTTTCAACCATTTTAGTATTTGAAAACAAAAATTGAGTTCAGAGAAACAATTACTGTATATTTCAAATCACACAAGACCAGCCAGTACAGATTATGTCAATTCTCATCAAAATTCACAACGATAATTGCTCAAACATACAGGTAGTCCTCAACTTACAAAAGTTCATTTAGTAACTGTTCAAAGTTACTCTACAACGACACTGAAAAGATTGACTTATGACCATTTTTCACACTTACAGCTGTTGCAGCATCCCAATGATCATGTAATCAAAATTCAAACACTTGGCCACTGACTCATATTTATGACGGTTGCAGTGTCCCGGCATCATGTGATCACCTTTTGCAAACTTCTGACAAGCAAAGTCAATGGAGAAGCCAGATTCACTTAACAACCATGTTGCTAACAATTGCAGTAATTCACTTAACAACTGTGGCAAGATTGTAAAATGGGGCAAAATTCATTTAACAACTGTCCCGTTTAGCAACAGAAATTTTGGGCTCAATTGTGGTTGTAAGTCAAGGACTACATGTACTTATCTTCCTGCCTGTTCCTTGATCTGTAATAATAATAAGAGAAGTCCAAAACTGTTCACTTAAGCCAGATTCAACACTTTGTCTTCCTCTACATTGGTTAAACTCTTGGGACTAAGAGCAGCATTATTTTTTCAAACAGAATTTCCCAGCCTAATTTTATGCTTGTCTAGAGTGATGACATTCCACAAATGGCAAGGCCCTACATCAAGAAGACTCCTAAAATCTTGAAGCAGCAATGCCCCCAACCAATTATTATTCCCTCTTTTATTTCTGATTGTGGACAAACCGTTCACATCATATTCTGAATAACATTTCAAAATAATTTTATGAATGAATTTCCCAGCTTTCAGGGCCTAAATATGGCTGAATCCCAAAACATGTACAACTTTATTACCTGCTTTCTACTCAAATTAGTGCTCAAGGCAACCTAATCTGTACAAGCCCTATAGCTTCTCTCTCTTTTCCCCATCCATCTCCCCTTCTGTCAATTTGTTTTGCTTTAAAAATTCTAGGTAATTCTACTGTTTTTAGTGGTTCCCCAACTTTTAAAGCTGGCACATGCCTGAAGCTCACAGTAATATAATACAGATATAATGTAGAATGAAAATTAAAACTCAAAGACAAATAAATTGAAATCAGTTTTTATTAATTGAGATTACATATATTCAATTAAAAATTTAAAACACAGAATGTCTATGGAATCTACTCTACAAAGCTCAGAATAGGTAGACCCATCCTTGCCTCAACTATTTACACATATTCCATATGTTAGAGGATTTCCCCTCCCCTCTTTTAATATTAAACTCAGAGAATCGACTGTTTTAAGAACGTAGATGCATATACTTTTCTATACAGGGGAAGGTCTCCTCTTACACAGAGAGCAGTAAAGCCCTCAGATATTTTCAAGCATGGAAAATCTTCAGGCAGCTGCCTTAAAAATGAAGGGGGAGGGACACATCTTTATGTTATATTAAGGATGATTTGAAGAAGACAAGAGAACTTTCTCCAGAGTGCTACATTTTCTCCAGGAAAATGATGGGGAACTGTATGTTGGAGCAACAAGTTCTTTTTTCTCTCTTTTAAAAATATAATTTTATTAAAAAAAATTAAAACAGGGCTAAAAATTAATAGAAACTAAAATTAAGTAAGAAGGAAAAAGAAATGAAAGAAAAAAGAAAAGTAGTAGAAAAATAGAAAAGAAACCCAAAAGACATAAAGAAGTGATTTCCAATCTTCATGAGTTGTAACTACAATTGTAGATTTACCATTCTTTAAAGTTACAGCATGATGTTTTACTTTCTATAATCTAGTCTAGCTAATTATTAAAACCATAGATCATAAATTCATTTTTTTTGTTTTATGCTGAAGTCCATAAGGAGTTTCCAGTCACCAATAAACATAGATATTGCCTTCAAACAGGTCAATTTGGCCATCTTAGCAAATTCTTTCAGCTTCACCAACTATTCCTCCATGGTGGCATTACCAAATATTCCCATCAGATTCTTTTTTCCGAATTATTCTCAACGTACCTCATCTCACTTTCTCTATCTGCCTTCTCTTTCTCCCATTTTTTATCCTTACTTCCCCCTTCCTTCTTTTCTCTTCTCGCCCAATAGCCTTGCCTCTTCTGCAGAACATTTAATTTTTAAAAAAAAATATGAAAGAACATTTGTTTGTAAGAAATATCAGTGGAGCTGTGCTTTCCTCTTTCAGGAGGAAAGAACCCAATCTTGTGGAACTCAAATAAAAATGGACAAAATGGACAAAAAACAAGGGATTTATAAAGCCATTGCTTGTTTTCAGAAGAAGAGCAATGGTTATGTTACCAGTACTTTTCATGTATGTCAGTGCTGCCTTATATGCATGAATCATAAAAACAACCACCTTTTTATACAGTACAGAAATTTGCTTATTCTGGTCAGCATTTCTGGAAATATACAGTATCCATGATTCTTCCACTGCTATATTCCACAAGGTAAGCTTTTGGATATGGATGCACCATCATTGAATCCCATGGTTTTCTGGGTCCAACCCCTGCCTAGGGCAGCTATCCTCATACAGTATTATCCCAGACAAATGGCATTGACCCTTTGCCTTGAAAACCTGTAATGGTACATCACCTATGACTCCAGGAGGCAGGCTGCTTAATAGGTCTTGCCACCAGGAAATTCCTCCATGTTCCATGTTTGACTATTTTTCTGTAAAGATTCTACCCTGGGGTTCTCTGGAGTATAAATCCACACCATCTCCCTTATACATTGACTCTCAAGTATTAAAAGATGGCTCTCATTTCTCCCCGTATTTTTTTCTTCTTTAGTTAAATGTATCCATTTCCTGTAACTGTTTTCCCCCACAGGTTTTATCCTCCAAGCCCCCTTGTTGCTCCTCTCTGCTTTTTTTTCATTTCATCAATAGCTTTCTGGTATTGTAGTGTCTGTATCTGAACACAGTATTTCAAGTGTGGGCTGTCCAGCGCAGCAAAGAACACAAATATCCTTTCCTGTGTTCTCAGTACTATACTTATGCTGCGTTGCATTGGCTCTTTTGGCAGCTGCAACATGCTGCTGGCTCATGTTTAACCTGTGGTCTACCAGGATGATCAGATTCATCTTACCAAGCCAGGTGCCACCAGTTTTGTACCTGTGCATCTGGTTTTTCTGAGTACAGAAATTATATTTCTCATAACTGAACTGCATACTGCTGAACATTCTTTCCCCATTCACAGAATAAAGCATACCCATACAAAGAAAACAGCAATGCTGTTTAAAGGTCAAACGTGGCTAATCAGTCATAACCACTCACCTACTGATTAATATAAATTATGATTAATATAAGTTATGATTATTCTTATATTATTCTGAAAATTATCAAGAGTCCAATGGCTAATTAACTACTTAACTTTATCTATTTTTGGACATAAGCTGTCCAATGGCAGTTAGCAGAGCTACAAGAAGGAATAGTATTATGTGTCTACTATGCTGCTTTCTTTTGCTCCCTATATAAAGGAAACCTAACTCATCAAGTACCAGGTATTTGCCATTGTATAATTACTGTGTTGTAATCTAAAATACCACAACCAAAGGACTTGACATAGATGATTCCTTTGGCTTGAGGGAGATAGTGTAAGAAAATAAGGCAAGCCATTACAGTCTACCACCATTTGAAACTTTCATTTAATTTCATTTTTTTCCTGCCTGTATTTCAGATTGTTAGTTTGTTTGGAATGCAGTCCAATGACTAGTTTATACTGAGCCCTAAATAAAAGTTTGCCATCTTAGAGTAAAGTGCCTTTGGGTAATATGTTCAGCCTGTAATCCACATAACAACTTTCTCCAAATGAAACTGAAGAATTAGATTAGATTAGATTAGATTAGATTAGATTAGATTAGATAGATAGATAGATAGATAGATAGATAGATAGATAGATAGATAGATAGACAGACAGACAGACAGACAGACAGACAGACGATAGATAGATAGATAGATAGATAGATAGATAGATAGATAGATAGATAGATAGATAGATAGGTAGGTAGGTAGGTAGGTAGGTAGGTAGGTAGATAGATAGATAGATAGATAGATAGATAGATAGATAGATAGATAGATAGATAGATAGATAGATAGACAGACAGACAGACAGACAGACAGACAATGATAGACAAATGATAGATAGATAGATAGAGATAGACAGATGATAGATAGACAAATGATAGATAGATAGATAGATAGATAGATAGAGATAGATAGATAGATAGATAGATAGATAGATAGATAGATAGATAGATAGATAGATAGATAGATGACAGAGATAAATCTACATGAATGACAAAGAACAAAGGATGTATCTTTTGATTAGCTATTTAAAAACGATAAGTATATAGAAAATGCAGAAGGAAAATGATAATTGGTGGCAAATTGATATAAATAAAGGAAAAGTTATTATGTTCAAAGTCTTAAATTATCTGACTGTATAATGCCTTTTACACCTTTAAGATTTAGTCTTGCTTTCTTTTAGACAAGACAGTAAGAAAACACTCTTTCTTTGGCAAAAATCTCTGCCTGCATCAGTTCATATAAACAGAGTGACTACAATAGAAAGACAGCTGGAAATGACCAAAGGAGGAAAAAAAGACTGGTGTTATTTTTAGGAACTAAATAGGCTACAAGAATTGAAATGGCTCTCCCACCATTTTTGCTCTAGATTTATAGATTCAAACAAATTCAGTATAGAATAAAGGAATTTAAAGTATCCTGTTACCCTCATAGTTAAACTGTCCTTTTCTTTCACTAGACAGTGCATGAATATATCCATATGTAATTAGTTTTTGAGTTTTGTTATAAATCACTGCTTAGCTTTTAGCACATAGTGACACAGTTGACTAAATTCTAGAAATTATGTCTTATAAAGCTTTGTAGCAGAACAAAAAAAAAACAACCCACACCTCCATCATCCTATTTTTTTTATAAGTGTTCGCCATTTCACTTCTAGTCCCTCAAAACTTTGCCCTTTAAATTGAATAAGGGGAAAAGGTATTCTGTTATAAAACACACAAAAAGTAATCATAATAACTATTCCATTTGTTTTAGGACTACAGCTCTCAAACTTCTGAACCCAGCTCAGCCAGTGGAAAAGTAGTAATCCAAATACCTTGGAAGATTGCAGAAAATTACAAGAATTGAATGTCTCAGAGCAATATTTTATCTTACAGTTTACAAATTTATGTATACACACATACGTGCAATCCTTTGATATCCCAAATTAGGTGATTGTAATACTTGGAAATATATGTGTATATACAATCAAAGAATTATCCTCTTAGTGGTTTAACAAGCACATCTATTTAATCTGTCTACTAAAAGCCTGCAATATTAAAACACTTACTTGCCTTTCTAGTAGTGCCAATTGTGTTCATCAAATAAAAGTACCATTGATACACATTATTTTTAAAAGGTGAGTAAAGGTCTTTAGCTGAACACCTTCATAACTGCTACTTACAGATCCATAGAGTTTGCCTTTGCCGTTCATTGCTACAAAAAGTCCACTTTTAACACCAAAAAGGCTAACCACTCCTCGTTCCACTGGAGAAATTTCCAGCAAACCTTTAAGAGAAGAAGAATGCATTAGAAAATACCAGGATATAAATATAGAATTACATTCAATCATAAACCATTTGAATAAAGAATAGCCTACTAATTCTATTACTTTTTAAGATATGTCAGTAGAACCATACCAGTAGGGTTACTCTTGTGGCATGCAACAGCTATTCAAAAAGTTTAGGAATATTTATGTACAGTTTGTATTATGGCTTTGTAGACACCTATATTAGGAAGCAAACATCAAGCTATTAAGATTCAGAAAAGTTCCACTGAGCTTCAGGTTACTCTAGAACAGAAATGGGCAATCTCCAGCTTATAGGTTGGACCATCCAGCCCCAACAGCAGGTCCAGTCCAAAACCATTGCCAGTCTCACCAATTGTTCTTTTTCACCAATCTTTTCAAAATTTCCCTGCAGAAGATGATTGATTCACTAAACCTTAGAATAAGTGGATGAAGCATTGAAGTCTTTGTTTCCCATCAGCTTACTCACAATGCTTAAGAGTTGTTGTGGCTGCTACCCAAGTTGCCATATTGCCATCTCACCATCTGTGGGAGGTCTTTTTTATTCCTCCGCATATTATAAAATATTGGCACAATTTTCTCCTAGAACACTGTGTAAATTTGGGTATTGAATGATGTACAACTAACTTGCCGAAACTTGAGACTAAATGTCACTTGTGGTGGAATAAGCAAGGACCTTCCATGATATTGGTTCAGTTCTGGTGGAATTAACAGAATGGAGGTAATGACCACTTCTGAGTAACCAAACCATCCATTTTCTTTGTAATGGTCAACCATCTCCTGCCCTCTTGATTTGTGCGGCTCTTCTCACTGACTTGATTCTCAAATTGTACTAACAGGGACGAGCCATTTTGGTAGGGAGTTGCAATGGGTGGGATAAAGATGTAGTCAGCAGAACTGATTACTCATTTGGCTGGGATCCACATGTTACTATTTCCATGATATTGCAATGTTGAGGGGAAGAATTTCCGGTTATTCTTTGATTACTAACTACTGTAGGTTCCACATATTTTATGTTTATATACTATATGTGCTTCGCCACTTCACAACAATGAGAAACTTCGTGACGATTTTTGATATGTGTGCAAAGAAGCAATCTGAAGGCTGTAAAAACACAGTTATGCATTCTTGTCAGAATTGCCTAATCAGGTTTTATTAAGTGAACCACAACCAGCTGGTTCAAGCATGCTGACTTTAAACCATGATTTGCAAATCACCCCTATGTGGGTTCACACATTGCATTGAGACAAAACATACCCCGCCTTAACACAATGAATGAATTTAGCCTACTCATACTTCCATAGAGAATTAACAGACCCACTGCAAATGTTATCACTGATTCCCTCTTCCCCCCCCAAAAAATAGGAGTGATTTGTATTGACATAACCAAACTACTCTCCACAGACAACTTTCCATATGATAACACATCTCTATAAAATGGCTGTCATACAGATCAGCAGCTAGCCCTGCTCAGGATATGCCCAACATATTGCTCTACAGTCTCTTGCCTCAATAAAGTTACAGAGCACATAGTCCTGGGGTTGATTGTTGCCATGAGAGCCCCCCCTTTGCCTTTGTCAACTAATTTTTATTAGGGTTTAATTATTCCCGCCTCCTTAATTTTTTTTATAATTATATAACATATAACATTTTAATTTTTGTATAAACGAATGAATGGATGAATGGATGTCATCCAGTTTAACTCCTCAGCATGTTCATTAACGGCTCCTCCAGCCCAACTCAGCCAATGTACTGCCTGCTATAATTCCTTTTAGAAAGTGCTTAAAAGCAGCCTTCTCAATCTAGATATGTGGAACTACAAATGGCTCTGCTGGCAGTGATAGTAACAAGGGATGCTGGAGTCTGACATAGCTGGCTTGCAAATGCTTCAGGTCCTCCTTCTGCTGTGATTGAAGAGCTAGCAGAGATCCCCCACCTTGCCCAGCTTAAAATAAGTAACTGGCATGTTTTAGGACACATGAAACGTTTGTCACGGTGCAGTCTTTAACCCCTCCTCCCAGTCCTATTGTTTCAGTTGGGTGTTAGTTAGAATTAGAGCTATGGGGCCATGGGGTTAAGTCACGAACAGATGCTTTTAAACTATCCTAGCTCCTTGGGATCTTGAATCCCAAATTAACTACTCATCAGCCTGTGGCAAAAGCAGGGTGGGGTTTAAGAATAGCTGCTTCCCATAACCGAAGCTAGGTTGTTAAGGAAAAATGTCTAATTTTGTTTAGAAAGTTAAAAAAAAAAGTCGTGCTTTAAATTGATTGAGCTCCAGGACAAGGTCAGGTTGGTGAAACTTCTGGGGCTCAACTCTTAGTTACAGAGGCAGGGCTAAGTGACTCTGCTTCAGTTCTTGGACTGAGCTGCACAAGGAGCAGCCAGTGAAGTCGAATCACCCCATATAAAACCGGGAAATCTCACTTTCAAAGATGACACCACACTCCTTGCACAGCAAGCGCAGTTGGCTACCATTCAACTGACTCTGCTGTAATCAATGGCTACTCTATCCCAAGCCTCCACCTTTCCCAGTTTTCCTTGGCCATCTCGAGGACTCCCCCCCCCCAAAAAAAAACACGGCTTCCCTTTGCTTTGACCGCAGCTCTTACTGATTCCCGAGAGACCGCGAGATAACCCCTTCACTCCTTCACACGTTGCCTTTCTCTGCAGACCCAACCCCATCATCCCTTCTGCGCAGGGAAATAGCGGGAAAACGCCACGCAGGCTCCTCGCCTGACGCCCCGCCGACTTACCTGGCAGCTAACACTGCGGGAGAAAACAAGCATCTGACAAGCTATCTGGCCTTTTCGGGGTTTCTCCGCGTTTGGTCTACCTGGCCTTCCTGGGTTCGAGCCTTTCCTTCCCCTGCCGCAGCCGAGGCTGCTTTCCAGCAGCTCTGCCCAATTCCTCTCTGCCTTCGGAGCTCGCTCGGCTTTGACCCTGGCTGCCGCTTTGCCCGAAGCGGGGAAGGGGGAGAGGTTTGGCGCCTTGCCCTGAAAGGGGGCGCGGGGCTTTCCTCCTAGGCGAGCGCGTCTCAGCCAGGCGTCGCCACAGCGGACCGACGGGCTCGACCGTCCGCGCCCCGAGAGCCTTCCTCCGTCCACCGCAAGCTTCCCGGGACCCAGAAGCAACTCCCTCGCCCCTTTTCCCACGCCTTAGGATCCCGCGCAGCTCCGCGGCGCTCGCTCGCTCGCTCGCTCGCCAGCCCCCTTCTGGGGCGTCTCAGCGGGATCGGGCGCAGGTGGGCCAAGGCGCCGGGGCGCCGCGACTTACTGTATCGATTTTCGTCGTGGATCCCGTTGATCCGGCTGTCCGGCAGGACCTGGATGTGAAACCCGATGCCGACGTTGCAGTAGAGGCGCCGCAGCCTCTTGATGCCCAGCAGATAGTCCCCGTCCCGGCTGAGCAAATTCCTTTCCCCGGGGGGCAGCCTGGCCATGGAGCGCGAGAAGAGAGTCTCCCAGCGCCACTCCAGGGTCTCGTTGTACTGCTGGGCGAAGACGGGCATGCAGCGCCCCGCCAGCCAGGGCGACAGCAGTCCCAGGAGCAAGGCTGGCCAGCAGGCCGGACAGGGACCAGTCATCCTGGGAGAGCGAGCGCTGGCAGCACACGTGGTTCCAGGGGAGGCAAGCGGCTAAAAATACCCTTCTCCGGCGAAGCTCCTGCCCCGGACTTAGATCCCAAGAGCGGGGGTGGGGGTGGGTGCAGGGAAGACACACAAATAAACAAACAAACAAACAAACACAAACACACAAATATGTGCATATATATATATATTATATATATAGATAATATATATATATAAATTATATATATTATATATTATGTATATAAAATATACATAATATATATATATATATATTATATATATAAAAATTTCGTGGGGAGGGGGGAAGTAGCTCAGCACCCCGTGGAGCTGGAGAGCCCCTGTTTAGATCTCGTGGAAGCGGAATCCGGTGCGCGAGCGAAGATCGAGTCCGCCGCGGCAGCTTCTTCTGAACTTGATCTCCGCTTCCGTCAAATGGGGGACCTGCTCTGCGCGCTCGCTCTCCTGGCCCCCACGACGTTTATATGTCCAGCGGGCCTCGATACCTATTACATCACCACCTATTGCTGCCTACAAGCCAGTTGAACTGGACGCGAAATGATCACCCCGAGATGGTCCATCGCAACCAATTGGGTCTTAGAAGTCGGGGAGGGTAGGGTAGGGGGAGGCGAGGAGAAAGGAGGAGGGAATATATGTCAACTTTAAAAATAAAAATAAAAATACAGGAGTCTTCCGTTAAGGATAATCGAGAAACTTTCACCTTTCCTGCTCAGGACATGCGACTCGTACTTGGGTTTTTTTTTTCCCCTTTGGTTTTTTGCAAGCGTGTGCAAATGCTTACCAATTTAACATACCCACAAACGCACATATCAAAGAATGCCCAACACGCCTCTCCCGCTCCATCCTCCTCCTCCTCCCCTCAACAATGTCTCACTTTGTGGAAAACAGAGGAATTTAAGCTTTTGGCTGTTTCCAAGTAACATGCTTTAGAGTTTGCAAAGAAAGCCGGGGGGCGGGGATCCTTCATGACAGGCCAAAATAGCTAATGCATGACAGACTAAAGGCATTTTTTTTACAAAAATGCAAAAAAAAAAAAAAAAGTAAAAAAGCCAGGTCAAAAAATTTGGAAGGCAACGTTTCCAAAACGTCCTGCGCAGAGGAAATCAAAGTATATCTGAACAGGAGCTTGGAAAGATGGGGAAAGAGAGGAGAGAGGAGAATCCGCCTTTCGATTAAAATGAAACAAGCCAAAAAAAATGCACTGGGGAGTTGTTAAGAGTAGTAAGGAGTGCCGAATTCTCCAGCGATCCATTGGAATGGGATCTTAAAGATACTTTTGGTATCTGATAGTTTTAGGTTACCCCAGCGTTTCTAAGAGTATCAGACTGACAGCCCATGGAGAAGCTCTTCTCTGGTTACATATATGCTCCGTTGGAGTCATTTTTCTGTCTATATGTATATATATAGAATATCTATACTATTCCTGCAGCAGGAGCCCAAGTCTTTTTTCTCTTCTCTTTGGGAGTTCTTCCTTTATGTGAACATGAAGAACACATACTTCACATATACCTTGCAGCTCATTCTGCTCCTATGGAATTCATCCCCCTGATACGAAAAAATTCCTTAAGGAACCAATTAATGGATCCTTCAGCATTTTTAATACTCATCCCTTGAAACAGGACAGAGGAAGACATGTTAATTAATTCAGTAGGTCTAACTTGAAAATAAAGCCCTGGTTTTTTTTATAGCTTATACCCCCCCAAGACACCCCCCCCAATTAGCCCTAATGGAAAGAAAAGAGGAAAAAGAATTCCAGACCATCTTACAAGATTGTTGTAAATACAACTGATCAAATCCTCTCTGCATTAAACTACCTCTCAAATCTCTTTTCTGTGATAGTGGGTTTGTTTCCCCAATATATTAAAGTTCACCCAGAGATAAGAGGCTGATGTAACTTGCACAAATTCTGTAAATTTGTTCACTTCCTTTTGGCAGTAGACAAGGCTGGCTCTTGTGTCAGGTTCAAGTTTTCACATTTGCAAAGGCACACCCAGATGGATCGTCTCCAGAAAAAAACCTAAGCATTTGATGGGATTTTCTCTCTAGCAAGGCTGAAATTAAGCATCAAGGTACCTACATGTAAATTAGTTTATAAATGCAACCTAACTGTATCTTAAAGTCCATGTGAATTCATTAGGCTTATTCCCAGCTCAGAATGTGATTATTCAGTTGTTCCCAGCAGTCTCAGAGCCAGTTAGAGCAATCATCATCACCACCAGCAGCAGCAACTCTTGACCAACCTCTCTAAATCTCAAAAGAAGCTAACAGAATCAGACCTAGAGAGTTTAGCAAACATCCCAGAAGAAAAGCGACCAATTATTTCTGTGCCCTTGACAGAAAAACTACTGAGATGGATGTCCCTGCCCATGAAGTCACCGGGAGTCGATCTGCTTCCAAGTCTATATATTGATGTATGCACTTATTGTCATTATTAAATAAAGATCAGGGGGTCCACCTGCTCAAGAATGTCAGAACAGGCCAGGATGGTCCCAAACGCACCCCCACCCCCCCCACCCCCCGTGGGTGGAAAGCACACAGTCTTTAAAAGCCACTAGCAGGTTTCATCCCTTTCAGAGGAACCAGATTCCCTGCTGCTCCAGCACTGAGGCGAGAAAGAAAAAGGGAATTGCCCTGGGAGTCAGATGCCACCTCACCTAAGCGTGAAAATCTCTGACTTTTGTTAAAATCTCAGCACCCCGCCCATCGTCCCTCCTCCCCAGTTTATTCTCATATTCACATTAGTTTTCCTTTTTTCTAAAGAGAGCTGAGCTGTATTAAGGGATTATCTGGTCCAGAATCTCACTCCCAGTCAGACCTATGGGCTGCCAAACTGCCTCAGTTCTTGGAAGTAGCTATACAGTCATCTGGCTGATGGTCACTGGGAATCTCATCCTTCAGGTATTTGTCTAATCCCCCTCTAAAACATCTTAACTGCTCCTGATGTAGTAAATTTTATCTTTTCACTGTGTATGTTGTGAACAGGCTGCTTCAACTCTCTCCTGAATCCTTTGCTTGTTCCGCATCATCAGATCTTTGTAGATTCTAGAGTTATGAAATACAGAGCAAGTATTGTTTTTACATGATTTCATGTACCGGCTATTGTGTCTCCCTTCACTTTTGTCCCCAAATAAGTGTTAGAAAGTTTACTTAAGAGAACTACACAAGAACCAGAACTTAATGCTAAAAGAAAAAAGAAAGAAAGTCCTCATGCACAACAACCCAAGTGTATGGAATTGTTACCCCACCTGTGTTGAAACCCCCCCACCACCAACATTTTCAAATTTTTTTCTTGCATTTAGCATCATCTTTAACTTATGCTGTGATGATGGGCAGCAGTTTAGCTGTTTGGTTAAAAATACTGGAAAGGTTTGTAGGAGAATTGTTTGCCAATGATTATTAGCCACAAATTGCTAATAAGAGACAATCTATTCTTTTTCCCCAAAAAATTTATTATTAGCTCATCAAAATATAAAATACAGAAATACAAAGAAAAAATGAAAATAATATTAAAATCAGGGAGGAAAAAGGGAAGAGAGAAGAGTGTAACGTAGAGGGGAAAAAAACATTGACTTCCCACTCCTTTGGGTGCAGGTAGAATAAGATAATAACATGAAACCTCAACTTTTTACTTTTATATAAAAATATAATATATATAATAATAATATACTAGTCATTTCTATAACAAAAAAACCTATCTACTCAGCACATTCAAACTCAAAAAAAAAATTTCCATTGCAAGCACAAAGTCCAAAAGTCGTTTCCAAATAGAACCAAATTATGTTCTTTTCTTTCATCAAAGCAGTCAATTTAGCCATCTCTGCTAACTCATCAACTTTTATTACTGATCAAATTATTACTGGACACAAATAATTAGTGATGATTCTTCTCATCTTTTTCTATCACAGAGAGGATACCAAGACTTCATGCTAGTTCTTCCTGAAGACACAGTACTAGACTGAAAAAAAATTGAGGGTTGATCCAACGATGCCCTTATCCACATGGCTATGGATCTAGATCTAGTACAGGTAGTCCTTGACTTATGACCACAAATGAGTCCAGAAATTTATTAAGTGAATTTTGCCCCATTTTTTGACCTTTCTTGCTACTGTTGTTAAATGAATCACTGGAGTTGTTCAGTTAGTAATACAGTTGTTAAATGAATCTGGCTTCTCCATTGACTTTGCTTGTCAGAAGGTCGCAAAAGGTGATCACGTGACCCCGCGACACTGCAACCCTCATAAATATTGCCAAGTATCTGAAAAGTTGCCAAGTATCTGAATGTTGATCACTTGACCATGGGGATGCTGCAATGGTTGTAATTGTAAAAAATGGTCATAAGTCACTTTTTTTCAGTGCTGTTGTAACTTTGAATGGTCACTAAATGAACTGTTGTAAGTTGAGGGTTATCTGCAATGATGCTTTGTTTTCTTGGCTAAGTTAACATGAAGAACAAACATTTGATTGTGCTTACGCATTTTAGAGCAAATTGTCTAGGTTATCTAGTTCCATATCTACCCCAGTTATCTATTACTGGAGTAGAAATGGCTATCTATGATCTTTGTGCAGAGTGGATGAAATTATCAGTGGGAGAGAAACTGTTTTATACCTGTTGCAAGGTACTCTTTCATTTATTCTAATTCTATTGTATGCTTTATAAACTCCATGTTTTTGTCCCAACTCTGATCATACATTGTAGACCAAATTAAATGAAGTCTTGCTTACAAGGAGGGATTGGGGCTTCATTTAAATGATGGTTTCTGTGAAACCAAATAAGGGTGGAGCAAACTGGGATACAATCAAGAAACCCTTTTCTTAATATGCCACTCTTAGGTCAAGTTCATTGATAAATTTGCTACTCTTAGATCAAATTCATTGATAAATTAACATTAAGGTAAATTTAGAATTGTTTCATATATCTGCTTATCAATAGTGTATATCTGCTATTGCTAATACTGGCAATATCTTATAATAAATAA